GTTGAGGACAAAAGAAAGGAAGGAGTAAAATAAATAAAGTGATTATAATGACTGAAAATATACTGTAAAACAAAGAGACATAATTAAGGAAGGCGAGAACAGTAAATAACGGAGAAAGGTATAGAAATAATTATTTTACAGTTTCCCGAATAAAAATAAGAAAAATCAGCTATAGAAGACTGCTTACGATGTTTGTCGTATTGTATGTAGGATGTATTATTTGTATGTATGTATGTATGTATTATTTGCAAAACTAAAATTTGTGTTATATATTCCAAATTGCCTTTAACTATTCCATTTTGCCCTCTACATGAAAAAATTTCTCAGGATTTTACTTTACGAGTAATTTTAACTAGAATATAGTTATTTTTATTTAAAAATTTGTTTTCATTATTTAATCACCTCTCAAGAACAATTTCAATAAGAGAATTAAGCCGAGTACATTTCTATCTTTCCCTCCTTTCCCCTAGGTTATTTAAATTATAAAATCTTAAAAATTCCTCGGCTTTGTTTCAAATAAATAATTGAACACGTACTTTTGATAATAATGAGCCAATTCATTAAACAAAGCCAATGTCGAATATTACAATGTTGATATTACAAAATCGATAAACATCCTCCGCTTGCAAACGGTTACAATATGCTTACACTTGACAATGTAAATTTGATGTACAAAACGAGAAAAGAGTATTTAAGTTAATATTACCAAGATAGTAAGTTTATGCGAAATGCACTTATCAAGTTTCATCATCATAAAGTTTGAATAGAAGCGCAATATTTTCTAAATGCAAGTCAAACAATATTATAGTGTATTCATATTTGTTTTTTATTTGTAATTTTTTTTTTTTTCGGTTTTTGTAATTTTAGTCCTAAAAACTAGAAAGATTGGTGTACTTGAGTACAAAATAATAACTATCGGGGAAATTGGCAAAGTTGCCGTATAAATATTATGTTAACTTTTTAGAAAAGAAATGTAAGAACAAACGCTTGAGGCATCTAATTGAACACTAATAGGTATGTGCTTAAGAGCTTTTTTAAAATCGGCGAGTCTTTTAATTATCATTTACTATGATTGGTTACGATATACATAACCTGCAAAACATAGTTGAGATTACTGAAAATCTGTTCATCCTTGAAAATATTTTAAATCCCAATCCCATTGCAAGCACCTGAAACTGTGTTAGGTATTTTACTATAAAATGAATGTAATATCAATACTGCATCTACCACATCATCACCAGCCTATTAGAGCCCTCACTGCTGGAGCTCAAGCGTTCCCTATGGATGAAATCGAATCAAATCAATTTGGGAGAATGAGCCATGACTTACCATGTGGGCTCAGAGAAGTTTGGTGAGTATTAACGACTATAGATGCAGCTGGGAACAACGGCTTAACGTGCCTACCAAAGCACGGAGTAGCTCGATATAATTAACTTTTGGTCACCCATCCCAAGACCAGCCCTTGCGAAAATTGCTTAACAATCGTATTGTAGATCAAGCATATAGTGTTGTGAACCCAAAATTTATGGAATATCTTTTATTGTATTTATCGCCATTCAGAACCATTTAAGATATGCATAATTTGTCTTACTGTCACATAGTTTCTTAAATTAGTAAATCTCCTTACAAATTATTCCTATACAATTAATCGATAATAATCAAAGAGTGTGATTTTTTACGCGTCGAATTAAGAACTAAATGCATTAACACTACAAAAATAGTGGAATGCGATCATGCGATTTTGAAATATTTTCGCCCGCGGATTCGACCGCGTAGAATTCGGTTGTTATCGCACTTCGTATTTACATCACGTTGATCAAACCCTTTAAGCCAATTTTTCGAAATTACACTATCCGAGGACCTTTCCCAAGATGCGTTCGCTCTGTTTACCAAATTTCATTAAAATGGTAAAAACGTAACACACTTGCATAGGGACATAGTTACTTACGCATTTATATTAGTGTGGATTTTTATTTTTCAATCGTTTAATATAAAAAAATACACATTTTTTTCTGAATAAAGATTAAACCTTTTTTAATCCCTATAATAAGTGACGTAAAATATAGGCATGATAAAATATTAAATTTTCAAAATAAGCTCTAGCACACTCGCGAGACATAATATGGGCCTCACGTCGGGTTCTGAGATGATCTTCTCTTTGAGAAAATATTTCAGACTCACGAGATATAGCGTGATGCTGTCGTTCGACTTTAAAACGTTCTTTTCTCTGAGTAAACTTTTCAGACTCGTGGTGAGACATAGCAAGGCGCTCACGGTTAGTCGTGATATTTTCTTCGTGTTGGGTAAATGTCTCAGACTTACGAGACATAACATGACGCTCACGATCGACTGCGAAACGTTCTTCTCGCCAAGTCTTAGACTCACGAGACAGTTGTCATCATCCTGGAAAACTTTTCCTAAGGCGTTATATTCGTATCTAATAAGATTTTTAGGGCTGCTTGGATTCTACATCAGATATTATGATCTTCAAAATAATTTACAGCCTATATGTGGCCGAAGACAAATATCTATACAACAAAAAACATCATTATATTTGGGTAATAGTTCTACCTAAATATCACTACATAGTATAAAACAAAGTCGCTTTCTCTGTCCCTATGTATGCTTAAATCTTTAAAATTACGCAACGGATTTTGATGCGTTTTTTTTTTAATAGATAGGGTGATTCAAAAGGAAGGTTTTTATGTATAATGCAAGACCACGCGGGTGAATGTATAATACAAGACCACCCGGGCGAAGCCGCTGGCGGAAAGCTAGTTTATATAATGAACGATGAACTGTTAATGGATTAATATATGAACTTTGAAGAACTGTTAATGGATTAATATAGTTTATTCATTCGCTATACATCTGTATAATCTGTCGGTCTTCTTTAAATAAATTTATAAAAATCATTACGCCTAATTAGTGGAGAATGATGACTTTGAAAGTACAAAACATATTATAGGTTTCTCTTTCTAATCTATTGTTTTAACCGATACGATTATTTGATAAATCCTGCCTACTACAATGAATGAAATACATCAGTTTATTGCATTGTTTCTCATCTGAGACCTTCAGCCAACGCTCACTTAATAAATTGTTGAAGGAATGTTAAAGATGCTACCATTTGTTTCCCATTACACAATATTATACAAACACAAAATAGCTTAAAAATTATGAGCAATTAATAAATTATGTTTGAGGTTAATTCGTATAATTCTTTCTTTCATCATCATACCATAGGTAGGTAGGAAGAACAGGTCATAACCAAACATACTAGCTCAATACGGATTAGTGGGTGATAACGACTACAGATGCAACCAAGACCAACGTCTATTAGTGCCTACCGAAGTACGGAAAAGCTCGAGATAATAATTTTTGGTCACCCTTCTTATGATTTACCTGAGTGAGCTCGTAGCTCCTACTTTTTTTTATACATGTTAGATCATAAAATACTATAATAGTATGGGAAATTACAAAAAAAATATAACAGAATCAATCGAGAATCATATTAACCTGCGCCACGTGACGACATGGCCGGGTAGGGTCTGTAGTTTGTTCCTTGGGCAGGCGAGAAAACATATGTAAGCGTGAGAAATGACTTGATATCGGGTATTTTAATAGTTAGGAAGAATTGAATTTTTATACATCGAATTTGGCAACAGTAGAAGCTTTTCCAAAATTTTTTTTTTTTTTTTTTTTATATCTTTATTCAAGTAGGCTATTACAAGCACTTTTGAATCGTCCAAAAAAACTTTTTTCCCCTACCACTTGTTCAGGACGTCTTTTAGCTGACAAGAAGAACAAGCGAAAGAAACTTATCAGCTTTTTATCATAAGTAATGACATTTACATAAATCATGTCATTACCAAAATAATATGTATTATCAATTTATCACAATAGTAAATACAACTTTCAAAGTCTGTAGGACATAAGTTGAACATATAATTAGTCTTTATAGAACAAAGCGAGGGCTATTAATTCCATGCATTGCGATCCTTAAAGTAATCATCAACTTTATAATAGCCTTTACTCATAAGTATATTCTTTACATGAATTTGAAATTTATTTATGGGTAGGTCAATTACATTTTGTGGAACTTTATTGAACATAGCAATACGTTTACCCAGAAATGATCCTCTGGTTTTTTGAAGTCTGAAGCTTGGAACGGCAACTTTATCTTTATTTCTTGTGTTAAGATTATGAACACTACTTTTTTTTGTGAAGGAATCGTAATGTTTTCTTGTGTACATAATATTCTCATAGATGTATTGAGAGGCAACAGTCAGAATATTTATTTCTTTAAATAGTTCTCTGAGAGATTCCCTAGACCGTAAATTATATATAGCACGGACAGCTCTCTTTTGTAAAATAAAAACATCCTGAATGCTAGCCGCAGAACCCCATAACAATATACCATACGTCATTAATATTTTATTTGTCATTAATATTTGTCAATATTTTAAATACCGTGTAGGGTAAAGTAATATATTTAGTAACCAATATGTAAGTTGGAACGTCTTAAAGTCCCAAATGACTTTTGTGTCGTTTCCACGGAGTACTGATGTTGTTATATAAGTTAGAATCAGCAATCGATTTTAACAAAACACGATGGATAGACATTTTCGAGTCATTCGTTGACCTGTCCTGACAATATACAATAGTTTTTATACATTTGCTCAATATGTGGGACAATGCTAATGTCCACATATTGAGTTTTTTAGGGGAATAAGTTTATATTTAGACCTCACTTCCCCGTCCCGCGCAGATAGGATTCATATATTTAGTATATATGAATCCTATCTGCGCGGGACGGGGAAGTGAGGTCTAAATATAAACTTATTCCCCTAAAAAGCCACACAGAACAGTAAAAATCTAACAAAAGAGGTAACGCTAATAAGTTTTAAAACTTATAAAGCTTACATAATCAATATAAATTTAACGGATTCTCTCATTGTTTTTACGTAAACGACATAACAATGACATCACAATTTAACACATTTGTGACATTTGATAGGCAATTTGTAATGCTAATCAATGAACAATGTCAAGACATCGCCGACTTAACAATTAGGATGGGTAGAAACATACACAACATTCAGCAATGCGTCTTTGGCACTGAATATGCATTTTATTAACATAATTAAATAATAAATAGTACAAAAGATTATTTTGTTATATCATCACGGCTATCACAGTCAGTCGTCAATGTACATTAATTTTTATGTGTTTTTTATTGCTTTGATAGTTAGTAAACGTCGAGTAAACCGTTTGTAAGCGATAATAACTTTTTTGAGCGTTTTTAGTCGAAGTATCGTTTACAAGATGGTCATATTCGGTGGTCAGTTATGAGTTGCAGGTTAGTAGTAGAGTATTTTCTGTTCAGTTTCTGGATGGAGATGACGGTGGCAACGTTGCGAGGAAGTCGAGAGCCTTCTGGATAGCTGGTGGTATCGGTGGTGGTGTTGGCAAGTGTGCGCCCTGTAAAATTCATTGAAAAAAAAAATATTAATTATAATTTTTCGATGATTAATTATAATTAATTATTTCGGGAGGTTTACTACTAGGATATTAGGTTAGCAATTATTTAATACCAATTTGGACACTTCATGCGTGATGAAGTATTGTATTGAAAAAAGCTAAAACTTACAGGTAGACATCTTAATATTATGTCAGTGCTTATTTTTATAGATATCTCTATCCACTTCTAAAATTCTGTATAGAATATTCGTTATATTTTCATGTGAATCAATCTCTATTTAAAATAAGGTATAAGATATCCTATCTATTTTTTTTTAATCAGAATCTATTTCGAAACAATGCTTAACAAATATTTGTAAAATAAATACCTAGTATTTAATAAAAAAAAATGTCAGCGTCAAAAAGTATGTCAGTTTTTGTATTCCAAACACACTAAATTTAATCAAACAACTTAATATATAGGTGTATTAAGAATTGATAGTTAAATATTTCAATGATGTAATTGACATCCTCTCATCCTTTATAGCGTATGACGCATGGGCTCAGTGGGACATTGTACAGCCTTGAATGATCAATATTAACTAAACACGTCTGCAAGTAAAATAAACGAGACAGAAATAAATATGCTGCATATTTCCTTTCGAAATCTGTGAACACAAAATCCCTAACTTAAAGGTAACACTGACATTTCGAGTATTAAACTATAAAATTGAATATTTGTTTACTCTAAAATATGTTATGAAAAAATTTAACTTATGCTTATGTATAAATTAATTGTCAGAGTTAGTCCCTGTTATACGCTCTAGTACCCTGAACTATGCGTGTCTTCTTGTTAGCCGAATTCATTTTATTTCATGCATAGAAATCTAATTGAAAAAACCCGGTAAAGTTCGAGTCGGACTCATGCACAAAGAGCACCATTATCCATTAAAAAAGTAAAACAAAAATCACGTTTGTTGTTTTCTATGGAATTTCTGAGTTAAATTAAATTGATCGACTACTACTTGTAAACTTGTAAAGCCAACTTAGGTGTGATACTTTTCCGTTTAACTTCGTTATATATGGGTAATACTGCCGTAACGTTGCATTTTTTACCAATATTTAGAGGGTGGGGTACATTTGACTCTAACGAAAATTAGCTTTTTAAGCTGATAAGTCACAAACAGTTTACTAAATCGAAAATCTCACACCCCTTATGTTTTGAAAGACCTATCCAACTATGCCAAACACTATGGGGACGTCGAAAAAAAAATCATCCCCACTTTACATGTATGGTAAAAAATGTTTTATTTTTTTAAATTTTACTTTACCAATTTGTCGGCATAATTAAAATGTATATTTATGCCAAATTACAACTTTCATGATGGATAGACCGACGGTCGAACTTCCGTACGAACTTTAAATACTTATTTCAAACCATTCAACACGATAAAAATCAACATGTGTCCTATCTCAAATCAACTTTGTTTAGTGGGTTAGACGTGAGAGCGTAACTGACATATACTTAAACCTACTTTCGCACGTATAAGTATCGAATAATAAAACGATTACCAGACAGTTACCTAAATAAATAGGCTAAGAACAATATAAATCACGGTTACATGGGCGATTTTTAAAAACAGCTGTTAAAATTGAAATTCTATTCTAATATAATGAATATGTCGTAGCCGACTGGTTAAAATAACCATCTAATTATGCGGCTAGTCCAATAATCGAATAGCATCATTCATTGGCACGGCTAAACGTCGATCACCTGAGTAAACATCAGAAACTGGTTAACTGTTAAGAATTACGATATGAAATATAATTATTAATTTTTAATTGTATTAATAGCAAAATATGCGCGATAGTCGATTACAAATTATAAAGTGATATGTACTTGAATATTTTCAAAAATATTTATTTAGTGTTATTTTTGTAATTATGTAGGGGAGACCTAGGAGAGTTGTGACAATTTTTACATAAAGGGCTCTATCTCGCTTAAGAAACATTCCACAGTTATGACTCATGTGAATTAGTTTAGCGCCATTTCTTCTGTTTTCAAAACCATCACTAAAATTAATTAAAGTATAATAGTTTCTGAAAAAAATAACAAAATTCAAGTCCACTCCCCTTGTCACAACTCTCCTACCACCGAGGTAAGTTGTGACAGGTACCGAGGTAAGTTGTGACATCATTATATTTAAGCTATAAGATATAAAAATACCATTATATACGACATAAATAAATCAAGCACGTTTTTTTATCAAATCAGTACTTTAATCAGTACTATAATAATAAATTTGACTTGGAAAACACACACTGAACATGTTTGCAAAAAGTTGTCCCAGTATTCTTGTGCACTGTACAAACTTAGTAGGATCGCGAATCAGTGCACGGTCCTTACAGCTTATCACACGTACGTAGTTTCAACTGTTCGATACGGCATTATATTTTGGGGATATTCGACTGATTCTGTAACTGCCTTTAGAGCCCAGAAAAAATGTGTTAGGAGCATATGTCATTTACAGAGTACGGATACCTGTAGGCCATATTTTATTAAACTAAATATTATGACCCTGCCATCAATCTATATATTCGAAGTTGGTATTTTTGTCAAACAAAATCAACAACTATTTGAAAATAAGACGAGATTGCATTATCGAGACAAATTGTGTACGATACCCTCTAAGACAGCTGTGTTGAACAAAAGTATCTTTTGTATGGCTCCAAAATTTTTTGATAAAATTCCAAAAACAATACGTAATCTGGATAATTGTAATGTTTTTAAAAGAAAACTTCGTAAATTATTAGTAGCTAAAGCATATTATAGTGTAAACGACTATCTAGCTGACAGTACTTTGTAAATGTATAAATACTTAATGAATTAATTGAATTTTGACATAACATGTTATTGATTAGATTAGTTGACAATTACTAACCTACTAATATTTTATGCCTTTTAGTCTGATCACGGTGTAACTATTCAGTCCTTGCATCAATAACTTAACTAAACAGTAACGATTGATTTGATTTGACTTGATTAATCATCTTTTAATACCTACCAACTAAAACAACATAGCATTTTCATTAACTAAATATGGTATCGCTTTGAGATCAATCATATTATTGTTATAATTAGTATAAAATCTTAATCTAATCAGATTCACAATTATGGCAAACGTAATGCAGCTCGTCCCCAGTACAATCTACGTGTGCCTAGCCTTTGCATTCAAGGCTTTGGACCCACTGATCATTCGATCTGCTGTCTGCATAGGCTTTAAGGCAAACCAAATAAAAGCAATTATTTTCTGCATCTTCTTCATCACTTGTTCTATTCTTCTTATTAGTCTTCTTTGGTTTTTTAGGTTTCTTTATTTTTTCTTCGCTTAAGACACGCTTCTTAACATTCTTAGATTTTCGGCCTCTGTATAGTTATTGGCATTCTCAAATAAAATAAGTATGCGGTATGACATTATACATCTTAAGTAGCTACTAACACAACAACAAACATCTAAAGTTAATAAAAAAAAAATTGTAAAAATAGCCCAGCAGAAATATGGAGTAAGATAGGAGAGTTGTGACAGGCTGTCACAACTCACCTAGGTGTTCAAAATGACGTCTTGGTCCGAATAATAATTCATATTTTCTTAACACGATGCGCATACAAAAAATCAGTGCCACGTATTGAGACTTAAATAACTACATAACTTAAGAAAAAATAACACATCAATGCACATATACTAAGATATGATATATATTCAAATAATATTTTGAAGAAAAACTTACTTTTCGCAATTTTTTATACACTGACGATATATTTACGCAACTGTGCCATATGCACCGTCGACAGGTACTGAGTCGTGTAGCGCGTGTTGAGAACGACAAACAAGCGTTAATGCCATCTCGCTTACTATAATAGGTAGAGAGAAATCCTCCTTGTCACAACTCACCTCTGTCACAACTCACCTAGGTCTCCCCTACTCAAATACCAATTTTTATTAAAATACAATGGAAATTTTTACAAATAGATAATCTAAGCTTTGTCAATAATATAAGATAGATCTTAGAGATAGATTTATTACAATGACAAATTAAATTGTAAACTGTGGTTGCTATGGTAACATTTTGATTCCCCATTAAGTTTTTCACTTCCATTTTCATTCCTTTAAGTACTATTTTTCGTGGTTGAAATATAACTTATTACCTTTCTATGGTCTTGAACTATCCAAATACCAATTTTTATCGATCTCTATCCAACGTTTTCACCGTTTTTGATCCCTTTCGGGATGGAATTTACAAAAATGCGTTCTTAGTACACCTCTACGTAATGAAACCAATGTACCCTCCAAATTTCAAGTCTTTACGACCAGCGGTTTAGGCTGTGAGTTGTCTGTCAGTCAGTTTGTCAGTACATATTCTTTATTATATGTATATATTAAAAATTATAAAAACAGACAATTCTTTCGTTCGACTACAATTGCTTAACATTAACACAACTAACACAATCGGCCCGCTACTTTTAAATTTATGTTTAGTTATACGTTAAGTAATAAGATATTTTGTTATTGTGTATGTGCCACACACAAAGATCCTTTGTTTAATGAATGTTTGTATTCGCTGATGGTGCAAAAACAATTGTCGGACTGGCGTGTTATTCTAATCCTATAGAGTTCGACCAATAGGAAGAGGGCGCTCACGCACATCTTGGTGGTCACTGGTCTTCTTATGAGCCAGTCTCAGTGTCGCAGCGAAGGAGTGAGCAACCAGCGCGATCCGCTAAGAATACTTACGACGCGAACACAATTTGCACCATCAGCGGAACATTTGTGTTACCAAAAACAGATGTTTTCATTTCAATCACCCAGCCTCTAGAACCACAGTCGCCTAGCCAACACATAGTATAAAACAAAGCCATTTGCAGCTGTCTGTACGCCTAGATCTTTTAAACTACACAATGGAAACTACGACTATGGGCAAAATCGCTGGCTGAAAACTAATTGATAATAAAATTGATAACAATATGCATAATAATAGAAAATGGGCTAAATTTAGTGGTCTAGAGCAGACTCATTCCCACAAGCAGCACCTGTTCTCTAGCATTACGCATAAGCCAGCTTTGCTTCACTCAACCCCATTTTAGGAAATGTAACGACCATGCACCGAAGAATTATACTCCCGTTAACTATAATATAATAAGTTCGATTAAGAAAAAGAGTTAACTTGAAAGATAGTGTCGGTGTTAAAATCAGCAGAAAGATTTTCACAGTTGATTCACAGATGTAACTAATCAATGCAAAAGTGGAAGGATTCAGAACCTCAGGAAGGCTACGACACGCCTTTCACGTTCAAATGAATGACGTGCTCTTGGAAGGTGATGCCAAAAGACATAAAAACCGGCGAAAGTGGATAAGGCGAAATATGCATGAAAGGATCGTGACATTGTAACGTTCGCTCTTCTCTGCCTACCCCACAAGGGATCCGGTGTGAAGATATAGATAGATAGACAGAAGTTTGATTCTATAATCTTAATGCTCATAGCTGAATATGCCAATTGTCAGGATTAAAACTTTAGTGTAGTTTTTAACTGCCATATTGAATTAAAAAACACTTTATTGCACACCACAATGAAAAACAGAAATACATACAAAAATTTTAAGTACAATGGCTGCCTTATCGCTGAGAAGCAACTTCTTCTCCAGGCAACAGTAAGTTAGACTGGACTAAGTTGGAAGTTGGATTGATCTTTTAAAAGTTTTAATCTATTGATGGAATCAAAGAATTTCCGATCAAGGATAATGACAGTCAGAAAACTAATATTTTTTTTATTTACTCACCTCAGGCTTAAAACCACCCTCGTCATCAGCAATGTAGTTCAGATTAATAACGGTGCCATCGGGCGCTGTGTAGCTGAACCCACCCTGTGCTATAATGACATCAGCTGCATCCGGACCACTCGCCTTCTTTAACGTACCCGTCTCCTCCGCTTTTATTCCATTCTCCGTTTCATAACTGGAATGGTTACAATTATAAACTTTAATAGACAAAACAAAAAGGAAATTGTCATTTATTAGCATATTCATAGAAAATATTAGCCTATACTAATATTATAAAGAGGAAAGCTTCGATTGTTTGTTTGCATCGAATAGGCTCTGAAACTAACTATTGGACCGATTTTAAAAATTCTTTAACCTACGCTAGCTACATCTTACGGGGTCCAAATAGGTTATAATTTATGGGTGCGCAGTCGCGGGAAACAGCTAATATAGTATAATATACATCAGTGAACTTTTCCCGAACTCTTAGCTTGCTTCAAGTAAAAGCATTTTTTTATTATTTCAACCTTATCATTAACTTCTCTCAAATAATGTCTTTACTAAACGATCCGCAATATCAGAACTGAATTTTAATTAGATTCTACTCATGGCATTGCTAATAATACTATTTTATGTTTTCCAAAGTCGATTCGCAGAAAAACCACTCGTTTCGATCTGTTGGACAAATATTAAAATATATGTATAACTAGCACATCAGATTTACTACACAAGTTTATTTTTATTACCGATTTTAAACTTAACTTTTAGTACTCATTAAGGTTTAGAATCGACAAGAGAAACGCGATATCCTATAAAATATGTGTAATACTGCGTATATTAAAATCTTACTAAGCATGTTTAAAATTCATAACTTATTTACTCAACTAATTGCTCCCAATCAATTAATTCTAACTAATTGTGGACTTCGAAGAATTTCTATACTAAAATATCTAAAATAAACTTGAGAAATATTGTTTTCTTAATAAATGGTTATGTGTAATATGAAATTATAAAAAATAAAAATAAAGAGATAAATACACTCTTAAATATATACTTCTTTAACATAGCGCAGAATAATAAGAAAACTTTTTTTTTCATTGCGCCCTTTATTCAGAGTATAATTTAGAGATGCTGCTAATCAGAAAAACCAAAACTTTTTGTTATTTATAAAACAATGCAATAAAACCGTGAGTGATATTTGATAGCTATTTAATATTTTAATTTCAATTCATTCATTAATTTCAAAAGATGGGCTCAGTTAGGTATATAGCGTCCTAAAGAAATAAAAAGATATAATAATTTTACCTGTATCTATATGACCCATCAGGTTGCTGATCGAAGTCCTGTTTGACAATGGCAGTTTCCTGATCAGGTTTCTGCGGCGCACAGATCGCTAGCACCACAAAGCTCAAAACGAATATTGCTTTCTGGAAAAAAAAATTGACTGCAAAATACATTATAAGAAACAACTTAGATTCGAAGGCACGAATGAAAAAAATCGAGGTAGGTACTCTTTTTTTTGTGTAGAGTGCAAAAGAGCGTAAATAATTTCCTAGATATTAAAGTGGCAGAGTGCAATGTTTCTCGATTATGTACAATTTATAAACTCAAGTTTAAATATTGTGAAATATTTGAACTCATTAATGTGCAGAATTTATATACGTAGAAAAGCAATAATTTTTAGATCTCTTGATAATTATATAGTCAAAATTGATAGGAAATTTACACTTTTAATACTTCAATACAAGTTACAACTTGTGTGCTGCTGAATGTATATATTTTGATCCAGTGAAATAATTTAATGAATTTATGCAATAACCTACTTTTTACCTAAAATCATACAAAATAATGTTTAAACTAAACTCCTATTTCACAGACTGAGCAAAAATCATCGAGTAGATAATGAAACTCAGAAGCTTTTATCAGGGTTTTATATTATGTCTAACAAAAAATATATTTATACAAATTAGATATAAAAATAAATCTAAAGACAAATTAGGAAAACATATTTTTACAAACTAAGTAAACTAAAACTTGAAAAAAAATATAATCTTATAAAAAAATGTGAGCCTATTCTATTTCTTGTTGGATTTTTGATCATTAGTATATATTTTAGAGACATTCCCAGTTTCCAAATAAATTACATATATTTTAGAGATATTCGCAGTTTGCAAATGAATTACATAATTCATTCCTCCATTCATTAAATGAGTACATACACATTCATTATGTTAAAGTAATATTTACTTGAAGTGCCTTCAAACTTAAATGGCAAGAATTGATCGCAATATCTAAATGCTGGTTTTCGAAATTGCTTTCAAGAAAAGACCTTAGACAATTAAAAAAGTGAAAACCGATATTATAGATATATATATATATATATACATACATAGTTTATCAATTAAGAAATTCACTGCAATAATTTGAAACAAATCATGTATCTTAACAGACTATCTGTTATTCAACCTTTTTGAAATTCCTAATGATGCTTGTGCTAAACAAACCCGATGTATTTATTAATTCCCTATAATAGATAAGCGATTTTTAGTTCTATGATACAGCCTTTGCGTTCACGACCTTGAATATAAAATATGAAACGGTACAATCTGATGACTGAAAGTACATGTATGGTAAATGTCGTGCCATTTGCTCGTCCACAACAATTTGGGTCAGGCATGCAGTCATACACAAAGACCTAATACCTTCTCGCTAATGGTGTCCATAATACAAACAGTGGCTTGCTAAACTGCTAATTTGATAACTGTCCGTGCTAAAATAACTAGTAAACTCCTCCATTGTTTATTGAAAAATTACATTCAGTAACTTAGCCAAATTCATGCTTATAGCGATTCTAAGCCCCTTCCTACATTATGATACTAGCAATAGACGATACTTCAGTTGCGGTACCTACATAATATTTGTTCGCTATAAGAGCTTCCTAGATTACGCTACTGAAAACAAAAAATATATTTGTATTTGAAATTCATATTGAACTGCCGTTCCACCACAATAATTTTTAAATTTGTACGTCACACGACGGCCGATTAGTAGCGAATGTGTAGGATATTAGTAACAACATATGCGAATCGCAATACTATGGGGATGATGACTTATTTTTGTTTGTTCGTTCGTCAGATGGAATATCGTTATAAAAAATTTTTTTTCGTAATAAACAAATTACGGCAAAACATCTTGACATCACACCTTTGTTCCTTTTTTTTATATAGTTGGTATGTAGCGAGCCCCTACTTCTAACCTTTATTGCTCATTATCGAAGCCAGTTCTTGCTAAATACAAGCAAAAAAACGTATCTTATATTTTTCTATTATTTAACTGATATTTAGTCCATCAGTTATAATAGAAAAATATAAGATACGTTTTTTTTTACCTAGGAATCATTCCTATTGTATGTGAGTTACTCGTCGGCGAATCATCGTCGAGACGTGACGATTATAAGTATCGTAATGTACGAAAGGCCTAATACATACAAACTTACTTTAATTTAACTTTTCTCTGAAATCATTTGGCTTCAGTGCATGTATTAACATAAAGATGTGATTTCGTCTTAAGAAACCTGTTAAACATATTTAAAAAAAAAACCTACCGATTTTTTCCCAATAAACAGCAAATAATGGTTTTTTTCAATTTTAATAAGCAATATTTAATTAATTACACGAAATCTGAAAATCTATAGTATACAGAGCACATTACACACATTTAGTTTATCACCTTATTACTCTATCCTGGTTTTCATCTACAAAATTTTCTAAACAGCACTGCGATTCTGTAACAATCCAGACCCGAATTCGAATTCACTCATGTGTCCGAATTCTAGTCATTTAGTAAAGAAATCCTATTGGTTCAATTTTTTGTATAAAAATACTAAACAAAATTGACTGATTAAACGTGTCATAGATATTTTAATCATATATCATTTCGAAACTCACTTCACTTATTTCACGAAACATTATTACCAATTCAAGTTTGAGCGGATGCCGCTTTTTGAAGTGAATTCGGACACCCGAGTGATTTCGAAATCGGGTTTGAAGTTTTACAGAATCGCAGGGCAGTTTTCGCAAAATATTCTTAATTGAAAAATGCTAAGTATCCCGTTGTCCCGTGTTGATGGGATTCTAACTCACGACCTATAAACAAACAGTTTTTGCAATTTTAGATTTAAAGTAAAAATAACTCAAGTTTCTGTTTTAACATTTTTTTGTGTCAATAGCGTGTGTCCATTTGTGATGTTCGACCTTCGTGTAATCACGCGATAAACGCACGCGCACGTGGCGTCTTCCTAATTCCATTTAATAATAGTAACCTAATAATCAAAAGAAGTTGTTCTACAGGAAATTTTGTATTGTGAATCAGATAGAATTTAATTTATGATCACTCAATGTACACGTTTATTCTCTCTTTCTTTTTTCTATATTTTAATACATTTTTTCTCTCTTTCTTCAACCTTTTAACGACTGAAAAGAAAGAAAAATACTATAAACACGTTGGATATGTACTGTACCAGGAGAACCTTTTTTGTTAGTATTCCTTACCTACAGTTATTTACTACTTTATTAAAATAAAAATAAAAACTACATATAATAAACATTACTATTAAATATGAATTTAAAAAATCTTCGTTGATATATGATATCATTAACACTGATTATCCTATATAGTTCTTTTCCCGCGACGTCGCCTATGTTATTTACATTTCTGAGTTCATTCATGAGAGCAAATAAACAACAATCTTTCTTCTTTTTAATATTAATAAGTAAAAATATAAATTACTAGGAGCTGTACTTCACAACGCCTAACTCTTATTTACCTATCTCATAGGTCTTGAGAAAAGGTATGAAAAAATATTTAATTATTTAAAAGCTGCAAGCCTATTATTTACTATTTTCTCAATTTTATAAACAAAAATTAAAGGTAATTGAACCTTTAAAGATTTTTTCTAAATGTTTGTCATCGAATAACGTGTAAAAAAATTAATTCATTAAATAAAATAAGATATCAAATGAAGCGTAAAAATACTTATTATGATTTTAACTTCAGCGAGTCCATGACATTACCTTTAAGGTAATATAGGCATTAGGATTAAGTTACAAAGGTCGTAACGCATCGCCTTCCATTAGACTCACGACATTGATAATAGTGAGTATCGATTAAATTACCGTTCTTTGATGAATATTTACTTTATATAGTTAAGAGAAATACTAATGGCACACAAAATTAAATTATTTATGTTATTTGATAATATTAAA